TGGGTTGTGTAGCATGGTGTGTGGTTGTGGGTTGTGTTAGCGTTGGGTGTATGTTGTGGGGTTGTGTAGCATGGGGGTGTTTTGTGGGGTTTTGTGTAGCATTGGCTGCACCCTGTGTGTGTTGTGGGGTTGTGTAGTCAGGGTTGTGTGTTTGGGTTGTGTAGCAGTGGCGTTGTGTCATGGTGTGGTGTAGCGTGGGTGGTGGTTTTGTGTGTTTTGTGTAAGCGGGGGTTGTGGCTGGTGTGGGTTTGTTGTAGCCAGGGCGGTGTGTGTGTGCTATCATGGGTGTGTAGCGTGGGGGAAGAGCGACGGTGACTATGCTGTAAAAGACAGCGTGGGTACTGGTAGAGGTTGACAGTTGTAAAATACAACAGGACATTGTGTGACAAGTTTATATTACCCTAATAGTTGCCTGGGCTAATAGTAGAGGAGACTATGTAATTTCGTGGACATCGCAGGTTATCTTTTGCGAGCTGCTATAACTTTCATTCTTCCTATGTTAAAATCACCCCAAAAAAGTGGTGTTGCCATTTTTTTTACATTTTCAAACATGTCGAAGTCATGTCACCTTATCTACACGTGTAGAAATACGTCAATTGGCTTATGGATTTTGTTTGAATTGCCACAATAAATGACAACATTTGTATTTAAAATGAAAGTATTTGGTGAACATCTTTAATGTAATGAAGTCACAAAAAAGAAACAGCAACCACACAAACAGATTTTGGTAGATATTGCCACTTTAGCGAGATGACACAGAGCAACACGTTTGACTGGGAGTCGGACTCAGGACCGCGACGACCTATTTTTGAAGGCACGGAGTTGATCGCTAATGATCAAAAGTGCATTTCTACCCCTGCAGTGGGTATACGTTCTTACACACTCTCTGCCCATAAATTTAGTTTCCAGCACTCATGATCAGTGACATTTAGATGTCTACGCGTTGTACGTGTGTAGTCGCTGAGAAGCTGAAGCCAAATCTACCGCGGCATACACCGCCAGCAGACCTGACTGTGTGCTAGCCGGGTGTGCGGTTAACTTCCCTTCTAGTAGATAACTAAGTACCTACTTAACGCGAAGCTGAAGTAATGCGTACAGCATGATTCGGCGCAGCTGACGACTATGCAAATGAGTTGGGGCACGCTTTTTTTTATTTAACGTCGGGTCACGTGTAGTTGGTAATTAGCTTTGACTCCCACATTAATTAAACTCGCGCAAATTAAACATGAGCACAAATTGCGACGATGCGTGTCGGCGCTGCGTGCCGACGCGGTAATCTTACTCCCCGCCGCCGCCGCCGCTGCCGCTGCCGCCGGGTCGATGCTGCTGCGATATTGATCGCCCCGCAATCGAACATGGCGCGGCGGTGCACGCGCGGCGCATGTGCGCATGCGCGGGGAGCAGAAGCTGGAGCGCGGACTGCTTTCCGCTAGTGTTTATGCGTATTGCTTGTGTTTGTTTATGCCGAGCGCGAGACAAACATGAAAGAAACCGTTTCAAATAAATTTCCTCGGCATATGTATCTAGTTCAATTAGTGTGTGAGGGCTTCTGGCGCCATAGTGCAAGACCACCCGGTTGCTTGAGAGTATTTTAAAACCAAGACGCGATCTACCGAAATTATATTTTAGCTGTCAAACATTATAGCCAGCCAGTGTGTATCATCGCCCACCATATATAGATAAGTAAGATAACGCACGTGTATTCTATTTTCACGTTATCGTTTTAAAATGTTAGTCTTAAGTTACATCGACCCGAGAACTAGGTTGTGGAATTTGTTACTACTTTGTTACGTCCGACTGAAATTCGACAATATTCGATTGTTCAGTTATTTTTGTGTGTGCAGTGAAATCATTTGCCACTTTCATTTGTGAGGTGGATAGTGAAATCGCTACTCTTGTTTCTGATTTATTAGAATTGGCATAGGTGGTGAGTCAGAGTGTGGCGGTAGCGCTGCACGTGAAGGATGATAAGAGTGTAAGAAGGGGGGGGGGAGCATATTAAAACGTATTTAATGTAGATTTACGACGGATGGTTATAACAAGAGCTTCCACAAATGGCATATAGTCACGTTTATAAAGGCCACATTTGTATGCGACTATTGAACTCGTTCAAAGTTCAAATTATGAAGGCTAAAATTCACATTTTGAAATGAGATGTATGTACCTTAATTTCACACTAACTTGGGTTGTAGTTTTGCACATTGACTATTGCACTGTTATTTCTCGCCGAGCAAGCTTGTCTGCTTGCTTGCTCCACTCGCATGCTGTTGCATATTATCAGGAGCATATAATGACAAATAGTCAAATACGTTGTCATTATACGCTCCTGATATTATCAAGGGTCCATAATAGAAGATCTCTAATATGGTCTCTTGATATTATCAGAAGTAGATAATTTAAGTAGATTCCCTATTATCTACTTCTGATATTATCTTGCCCAAAATTCTCAAACGAGTTAATTTTTTACAAAATAAATTATCGCGTGGCAGACAGTGGGCAATTATCCAGATGAAACACTGCTAGTTGTCATTGTAAGCTGAATGAGTTGCTAACTGGTTAATTGGGCGAATTTATAATGAAATAGAATTACTTTCTTTCATACAAATCCGGTAATGTTATTCCAAGAACTGAGTCAAATTTTTGCAATCACTGATGGCGTGGGATGAAAACTTTTGAGAGATCTATGCGTGTCTCAAAGTGTTTCTTGAATGGAAGAAAGAGCAGCACAAGATTTAGAACCCCGCGGTTATAATTGGACGCCGTCGGCGGAGCTCCATGCATGTTAGCGGCTTTTATTTAGGTTGATCACAGACCACTTCCAATTTAAAAAGTGCATCCACCATTAATCTCCACTGTAATTTCTTACGTTACAAATGCTGTTTCATAATTTATTGCATATAACATTGTAAACTAGACAGAGGGCACTCACGGAGAGTGCATACCTCCGCGAGCGTGTAACATGTATACATGTGTATAACAGCTGGCTCGCTGCTGGCTGCTGCTGCCTGGACGTTCTAAGGCGAGCTGCTGCTGCCTGGACGTTCTAAGGCGAGCTGGTGCTGAATCGATCGCGCCAACGCTACACACACACGAACACACACACGAACACACACACGAACACACACACGAACACACACACGAACGCATCACACGAGAGGGATCACATTACCTCCCTGCAACTCCGTTGCGCTGAGGTAACAATAACTAGAGGAGACACACTGGTAGGGATCACGATTATACATGCTTAGTGTGGTGCATGTCTAGTTTACGGCTTCGTCAACAATTTATAAACCAAAGTTCTCACCGAGAGAGGTCTCAAGTAAATTCTCTGTAAATAACATATATATCACAATGACATCTCAGTGCTTATACGACACATTTTTTAGGTTTTAATTCTATTATGTAGGGAGCGTTTGTGTATATATAATATGACAGTTTCCGAATCACTCCCCTTTATGGTTCACCGAAACCGATTCACAGGAGAGCGGGAACCGAGACGAGTCAATTTGCATGATAATAATGTTTGCCGGCCAACGTTACCATACCCGCCTGTGAATATCTGTAGGCATTTTCATGTAAAAACGTGTAGCTGTAAACCTGCCCCTTTTATTATTTTTTTAGGTGATATTAGTGAATAGCACTCAACACTATGCTTTATGCACTGGAATAACGAACTGTACACGAGCAAGGGTTCGAGGTTACTTGCATGTATCCAGAGACAAGCCACCGACGTGCGACGGTCCATGACCAACATGTTACATTTGTTTATTTTGCTAATTATCGCTGCATACAATACAAACAATGTGTACATCATTGAATATGCGGCTAGATATCTACCAGGGATGAATACACAAAAATCTTAGACAGGCATGTATATTTACATTGCGGTCCTTTCATATGCCTTTGCACTAGGCCTATGGTGTGTTTTGTTTTACAACATGACGTGTGGTACTACCATGTTATCAGGAGTAGATAATAGAAGACTTTACTCTTCTATTATCTACTCCTGATGTTATGTGGACAAAATAGATAGGCCACTAATTCTATGGTCTGTAAATAAAGCTCTGGACACTAGTTCTATGTTTGAAATAAAAACAGCGGGAGGGGTGCATTCAGTCACTAAGCAGTCCAAAGGTCATGCCAACTTAATTGGAGCCTTTCAGGATTGAAGTGAGACGAATATGTCCACGAAAGGTATTTGTGTTCTGCTGGTGATATAAGTGTCTTACAAACAGCCTTTTGATGTAATTATACCTCTGCAACCGAAGTTTCAAGTGGGTATTACTATATATATCTAGGAGTCATCTTACGGTTGGGTAGGCGGTCGGTCCGTCCGTCTGTTGCAAAAAGTTTGTGGCGCGAACTACTTCCACAGTTTTCAAGGGATTCCAATCAAACTTCATACACTTGGTCAAACAATTGCTACCTAACTATTTCCTTGTGTTTATTATTTATATTCTTAGCTGATATTTACCAGCTATTTATTGAATAATGGTATCACAGGAGTATTAATTATGTTCAGCGATAGTTCCTTTTCATAATGTCACATTCCCCTCTTATTTTTGTGTGTGTTCCGTGTATTCTTTACTCATAAAATATGCCACACCATGATCTTCCCCTCCCCCCCCCTCAACAAAGCCGTATTGCGGAGGTATTAATCACTGTCAGTGTCAGTGATTGTTCTAGTTTAATACACCTGTTCATCTGCAGGCTCTGGCTACGCGTGTCACTGGTTGTATGGTGTTCTGAAGCAAATTCAAGCAATGCAGATTACTGATTCCCGCAGAGTGTACATAGTCCCGGCAGACGATGTACATGTCTGGTAGTTTGCTACTAGTGGTGACTGGAAGATTACTTACCGCCTGGCCCAGCCACGAAAAAGCTGTGCGATGTCATTGTGATGAGATTTCACTGTGTCCGTCTGTAGTGATTGATGTGTTGTTCGTTCGCCTGCTGCGAATCGCGACCAGACGTTTCATTTTGCAATCGATGTTTTGCAGGGAGTGGGATAAAGCAAGGAAAGATCATCCAGCGGTACCCTCAGAAAGACTGGGAGGACACACCGTTCAACCAGGGTATCGAGCTGGTGAGTTAATGCATGCCAGGGTTCTGGTCATCAAACGTGACACTGCTATGAAAGCTTAGATTAAATGAGTGGAGAGTAGAAATGCTTATTCAGTGTGTGTGTGTCACAATCTTTCAATGATTTATTAGAACGTTTGCTCGTTAATGGCTCGTTAAGGTTCCGACTGTTTAAATCATAAGTTGAATTGCAATGATTTGGACATATATGTGGAAAATCTCAGCTAGTTAAAAAATAGGATAAAAATTTCAACCTTAAAGTCTGCGTGACTGACCATTGATTGTCCAGTGTGGCTAAGTCATCGGCATGGTTACAGTTTTGCCAGCCGGCAGGATGGTCTCTGTCCATGCATCGGCAGCCTCCCAAGTTCTTTGTGTCGGTACTGACGGACATCGATGCCGACCGCCATTACTGCGCCTGCCTCACCTTCACCGAGCCCGTTGCCATGCCGACCAGCAAGCCGGACGATGAGGATGCGGAGCGGGATGATGGAGGCCTGGTACATGGCGCACTAATGTTTGCACCCAAGTCTCTCGCATTGGTCTCTAGGCTTGACTACTACGAAACCTTCAGGGTGAGTGTTGGAGGATATCTTTCCCAGCGCACCTACTCCTTTCCAGTGCCTTATCTCACCCCAGCAGAACTGGTGCTAGCTGTTGTGCAGCCGTGCATGGTCTCAGCCTTGCTACACATTCTCCTAGCCTTGCTCTAGGTTTAGGAGAAAGTAAAGTAACTTTGAATTGATAATGATGATGCCATGGGCCAAAACAAGTGAAAGTGTGAGATGGTTGGTGGGTGGGTGCGTGTGTCTGATAGCCAGCTGGAGGTTTTAATTTGTTGTGTGGATGTGCTATCACACGAGTGTGTATTGTGAAAGGGTCCTGATCTCAGTTCGCAGTAAATATTTGGATCCTTTTTTCGGTTTCAGTGAATATTTTCATTTCCCACTGAAATTTGTTAATTAAATACCCAAAGAAAGTCGAAGACCAAAAGGCTCAAAAATCCATATAAAAATGATTGCACGACTCAATACATGGTAAAGAATTGGGTATTTTTACTCTAATGTTTATTGTTTAAAAGGGAATCACGCATTACGCTAGATAACTAATCATGACTGATGGTAAAAAGTTATCGTTTTACAATCGTTTCACGCTTCCTGGCAATCATGCTATGCCCCATCAATACTCTCTTGTGATGGGGGCAGGTTTACTCGTGAGGGCTGTTTACTGATGAACGGCAATATTCCAGGGATAGAACGACCATAATTTAGTAATGCCGTTGAGAGTTTGGTGGGAGGTGAGTGCATGCTCATCCGAGGGGATTTACAGTAGCAATACTAGCGCTTATAAGCTGTAGCTATACATGCTAGTATTGCTACTTGGCTGAGATGGCATACGTTATGATGCAGCCGGGTTTTCCCGAGGTGTGTGATTCACGCGCCAATATCACAGCTAACTGGCGAGACAGTGCCGTATTGAGATTAATGTCGGAGATAAAGTTTATGCCGCTTAAATAGAAAATGAATGCAGTTGCGCCGAATCGTACGAGCGCGCGAACGTGTCTGGATTTCGGTGAGCAGTGTATGAGTCGCGTGCGGCGATGAATACGCCTACTGCGTGTACGTATGTATGTTCTCAGTGACGTGGCGTGCATACATGTAGAGAGTCGTTCACTGTACGCCCTGCACATGGCGAGAGCGTAGTATAAACGAGAGCGTAGCCGCGATGAAACGCCGCTCGACCGCCGGCGGCAGACCCAGAGTCAGATTTCACGCTGACATATTGAAGGCCACGTCTGTAGGGTTACATAGCAGCTAGCAGTAGATTGCATCTGCTTGCAGCTGTTGTCGTCTGTGCTCTCGTTTGTGAAACCGAAAGTTGACATTTATTGAGGGAGTGATATAGAATTATGTTCTATATAAGCTTTCGTGGCACAGTTATCTTCGTGTGGGTCAAAGTTATGTTTATCAATGTCGACAAAGTTGTGAGTTTGGCACTTGTCAAGAGTAGATAATAATTTACTATGTTAATAAGATAATGTGTTATTATCTACTCTTGCACTTGTGTAATCACTGCCCACCTATACAGGTAAAGCAAATACGCTTTTATTTGTATATTCATTGATACGGTTTAGATTGGTTGCAGAGCGGTCCATTTGCACATTTACCTATTGATATGGATTGTCTACTCATCAACATAGCTTCCCTACACTACAACATGCATAGCAACGCATTCTGTAGCATGGTGTAGGAAGGTAGGGGTGGTGTTGGAAGGTAGCACATGGGGTAGGAGGGTAGGGGTGGTGTCAGAAGGTAGCAGATGGTGTAGGAGGGTAGGGGGTGGTGTCGTAAGGTAGCAGATGGTGTAGGAGGGTAGGGGGTTGTGTCGGAAGGTAGCAGATGGTGTAGGAAGGTAGGGGGTGGTGTCGGA